ACACTCTGCAGTGCAGGCAGCAGCAGGCTGGCCTGGGCTCCCCACGGACACTGGGATTGGCCCTGGAACCAGTGCTACAGCATTTACCCACCCCTGTGACCACCCACTGTGGCAAGGAGAGCATCAGGAATCCTCCCCCAGTCACACCTCGCTGCTGTCTCAGAGCTGGGGGGACCTGAAGCTCTCACCTCTCTGCAGCCCTTCGTCTCCACCAAACCTCAGGCTGCACAACAGCAGGAATTACAGCTAATTGCAGGCACCATGGTGGGAAACCCGCTGACTCAGCACCCCAATGCTTGATAATGGCTCTCCTGTGGACATGCTCTCCACACTGCCCTGCCTGTGGGCAGGCACAGCTATGTCAACACCCAGGGCCAGGTGAGTCCTTCAGCCCCCAGATCTCCAAAATGGACACCCCAACTCTCTGCATCCCAAAAGGCTTCTCTCTGTGTCCTTCCCCAAAACCAAGATCCAATACACGCTGGGTGCAATACCCAACCCGCAGGAGTGAGATGTGGGAAGGCTGGCAGGCCTGACACATCTTTCTAGAGGAAGAGTCACACAAGTGGCTGTGAAAGTGACTGGACCCTCAGAAGCATAATAGGGTATGAGACTCTCATCTAGCAGGATATGGGTGCAGGATTTGCCATAAGGAGCTAATGGATTAGCCACCAGCCAACTATGCTTTCCCAAATGCTTTCAGCCACGTTGCACAGTGCAAACCCCTCTTTTCAGAGGCAGTGAGGAGAAACCACAGACCCTCTGTGGGGGAAATATCTCCACAGAGTCGAAGGGAGACAAGCACACAGCACCCAGCCTCCTGTATTACATCCCTGCCCCAACCTGGCAATGCCCAGGAGCTGTGAGCTGTGCTGGGCTTGAGTCCTCCCTGCCTAGCAGTGGAATTGGGACCCTCTCAGTGGCCAGCTCAGCCCTGTCCCTGTATTCAGTGATGCTCCTGGGCAGGCAGGGCAAGGCAGAGGGTGTCTGTGTGTGGGGCCTGGCCGTGCTGCCCCGGAGGACCCTCGGAGGGCAGGATAAGCGTATTTTCTCAGCTGAGAACAGCCCTTCCGTTTCCTTCCCTTGCCCAGCTCTGCCGGGAGCATCAGGTGCAGTAGCAAGGCCACCGGCAGACAGCATTTCCTACCCGCTTAACCCCTGCAGGGCAGGGATGGAGAGGCAGGAAAGCCAGTTTATCCCAGCAGGAAAGCCAGTTTATCCCGGCGGGAAAGCCGATAAGCTGGAGCACATGGGAAGATGCGACTGCTCTGGTTAATGCCGATGGCTCCATCAGTGCCAGGACTGGTTCACCAAATCTGCTTTTAACTGCAGGATGCAAAAGCCAACTATCAAACCTGTTGGTAGGAAATTCCTGGCTCTCTTCTTTACACCCTTAGTTTTCGAAGGCATGACACTGAGACCACATGAAATGGGAGGCTGCACCCAGTGGACAAGGAACCAAAAAGGGTTTTCCCGCCCCATTACCAAGCTGGATGGGTTTAATGTGCAAAAAAAACCAGAAGAAAGCCAAAGCCATTCTTTGAGCCACTCCTTCCACATCTCCTGCTAATTGCCAGTAATCAGAACATACCAGTCTCCCGGGGGCTCCCTCTTATCACTTCCAGGATCACATGTGCATGAAACACACTTCAAAAACAGAACAAGAAAAAAGCATTTTGAGCATGGAAACCCCTCGCAGCAAAGATCTGTTTTCGTTCTAAGCTCTTATGAAATATCAGTGTTTTCCCCTGCCTGCCAAAGAGCCTGTCTTTGATGCGATGGGAGGCATATCAGGAACAAAAATGGAAGGGGCTGCAGCAACCTTGGGAGGTTTCCAACCCAATTGTCCTGCTGCTGCCCTGGAAGGGTGACATTTAGTAGATACTTCACAGAATTGACAGTTGTGCCCTTAACTAAGGTTCCTTACACATAGGAGGAGATGTGTGCTCCTTAGGAGAGAGCTTTGGCTGTGCTAGGCTAGATAGTAGTTGGTGTAGGGAAGGGTTAAGAGGACAGGACATGAGTCTGAGATGCCAGAAACCACTTCAAGCCTCTATGCTATTATCTCTGTCCCCAGCAAGTTACTTGGCTACTGAGCCACACGCAAAGCTTGCGTCAAGCTCAGTTTTTGCTCCCTGTGCTCCCCTGAAAAGCCTTCCCACTGCTGGGATGAGACAACTTCTTCAAAGCCTTAAACAGAGTTTTCCTGGGCTGGGATAAGAACCACCAGTCCGCTGCAGGCAGAAGGGTTTCAGGTACACGGGGGCTCAGTGCTGCTCCATAGCAAAGGGTGAATCAGCCTCAAGGCTCAGCACATTTGCACCGGAAAACAGCATTTCCAGGTCAAACGTGGAAAAGAGGCAGGTTTTCCACACAGCCCAGGACAGTCCCCAGGGCCCCTGGCTGGAGGACACTACCCGGCTGGGGACACCAGCCTGCTCTTCAGCAGCCCCTGCTATCACATGCACCCATGATGTGCAGGGCAAGTCCCTCTGGAGCAGCCAGGCTGGCTCCAGCAGTGATCCAGGACCTACAGCAAGGCTCATTTCCCTTGGTTAAGGGCAGCGTGGCACACAGAAGGATACTGGAAGATACAGGACAGATAACTCCAGTGTTGCCCTGCTCCACTTGGCATCAGCACCCTTGGGGCAATCTTCCCGCTGCTCTGCCCAGCACGCAGGAGCCTGGGCAGCCCACGGTGGGCTCAGCCCCTTCCCCACATGCTCCTGGCTATAAACAGGCGGTGGATCGGGGCAGCTGGGTTTCCAGCGGAAGGAATGGCTGCAATGCGGGGGAGAGCTCGGCACTTGCCTGGCGCTAGCAGCTGATCCCTGCTCCTCACCCGCTCCGCACCCCCGTCCACCAGGCTCCGTGCATGGATTCCTACTGCTAGGAATGATCCGGGGCTCCCTCCCACCAACCCCGTGGCCTCCCCATTCCTGTGGGCAAGCTGGAGCCAAGTTTATCCCTGACACACCTCTGCTGGTTTGCTGGATTTAGACCCCAGATAAGTTTGGTGCAGGAGCTAAATTCTGGCGGCACAAAAGGTCGGGGAAGTGTCACTAATGAGGAGAAGCCGTGAGTGAGCACAGCCCTGCTAGAGCAAAGGTTCATGGCAGAGATCACTTCCCAAACCACACACGCATGTGCTCCTCCATCAGCACAACCCAAAACAGCACCGCAAGCAGCCACCGGTGTGGAGCTGAGCCCTGCACTGGGAAGGCAGCAGGCTCAGGTGGAGCATGGGTAGAGATGGAGGAGCTGGCAGATCATAAAGCAAGAGCAAGGCAGGATACACACAGGGCCTGATTGGAGCTCCAGGTGAAGAAAGGGGCTGCCAGAAGGCAGGTAGAGGCTGGGAATAGGGCAAAGAGCTCCTACCTACCACAGATCCAGTACCACTTGTGCTAGGTAAGGGAGCCTGGTGAGACCCCCACACCTCCCCTCTGTGAGGCACAGTGATCCAGCTATTCAGGGTGATGAACAGGAGGTTTACATTAGCAGAGAGCCATCCAGATACTAACAGCACCTCATAACAAGGACCCAAAGCAAAGCAGGCATTGCAGCCACTACCACAGCAGGCACCAATGAGGGGGATAAAACAGCACCAGTGGCACTCTTCTAGCAGGGTCAGCCTGCGGAACAGCTACACCGTGCCCTGGACTGTCTTCATGGTGCTCCAGGATGGTTTCCATAATGTACCAAGCATCCCCTGCCTGTCCATGCAGTCTGGCTCCTGGTTTGATTTGGAGTGGCCTCCCACCAACTCGCACAGCAGGAGGATGGGAAGCAAAGACCCTCTGCTCTCCTCTCTCCCCATCAGTGAAGCCCTCCAGGACCCTGAAAGACAGCTCTGCCATCGCATGTCATTTGGCAACACTGCTTCCAGCAACAGCACCCTCCTTCAGCGCTGGCAAAGCCACCCTGGCTGGCTGGCAGGCAGGGCGAGCCACAACCGCGGGGGAAGGCTGTCCCTGTCACCGTCCTGTCCCCTCGCGGGCTGCTGGGCACTGGCACTGCTCCCTGAGCACAGACACGGCGAGCGGCAGCCCAGGAGTCAAACTCCTAATAGCTGAGTTTCCACTGCGGAAACACCGCCCCATCCTTTTACATCGGGAAGGGGAACTCCTGACCCTCGGGTCCTTCTGGTGCTGACCCAGAGCTGCAGACTCAGCACTGTCTGAACCACCCTGGGACTTGTGCGTGGTCCCAGCCTGCAGAGTCAGTGATGCCCCTGCCCTCCTCCGTTATAATTTTTGGCTGGTCCTTCTGTAGCACCTCTGAGGACTGGTTAAAGGCCAGTACCCCCATGCTACACCATGTCACCACCTGCAGCCCCAGGCCACTGTTCAGCAGCAACGAGCAGCAACCCCCCCGAAAGTTTCCTCTGCTCCCTCCAGCGACCTGCGAGCCCCAGCAGAAAGCCCAGGGCTTCTCTGCAAAGCTGGCCCAAAGCCCTGGCAGGTTTATTCATATCCCAGATCAAAGCCCAACATCTACGTGAGCCCCATGCCATAGGCAGCAGGCAGGAATCACACACGTGGGAACGCAGCCTCTTCCCAGCAGGGTGGGGATCAGGTCCTCCATAGCTTTACGAGACCACCGGCATCCTCCCCAGCTAGAGAAATTCTGGATCCGATCAGCTTCATCTAGAAACACCAGCCACCTCCCTTTCTACGACCATAATTGCTCCTAACAAGTGCTTACACCCCATCAACTTGTTTTCAAGCCACTGGCTTTTCACCCATCTGACCAGCAAAGGGAAACTGGTACCAGTTTGTGTCCCTGCTGGCCCTGCCGCAGGGTTGGTGGGGGGCAAAGGCACCAAGGGGACAGAGTCTCGCATCGATCCGGTGAGAGCACCCGCTCGGTTTGGAAAGGGATACGCGACCCGCAGCCCCCGGGACCCGCACGCGCATCTCCGGGCTCCGCACGCCCGGCACAGAGGGGAGAGGGGATGCACATCCCGTCCAGTCCCGTCCCGTCCCATCGCCCCTTACCGCTGAGCCGGTCCATGGTGCCGGAGCCGCGGGCAGCACCGGCCGCCCCGGGAGGCGCGGGCGGGCGAGTGTCACCGGGAGCAGCCGCCCGGTGGGGCCGGGTCTCGCCGTCGGAGCGGCCAATCGCTTCGTCCGCCCCTCCCTCGGTGCGCGGCAGCGCCGAACGCGGGCCCGGCCCCCACACACCGCCCGGGGCTGTCCCCATCGCCGGTGCCCCCCCATGGGCACCCCCCCACACACCTCCCTACACCGCCCAGGGTGCCCCGGGTTCCCCGTGAGCCCCCCAAGCGCTGCCCCATACCGCGCACTGAGCACCCCGGCACCCGCAGAACCCCCCCGTGTGAGTAGCAGGGGTCCGGAGCGGGTTAGTTTGGGCTGATTCCCCCACCCAGCGCTGATTCACCAGTCCCAGTGAGCAAGCACAGCCCCTCATTAGCACCCCGCAACCCCTTCATATCCGCTCCCTCCGGGCGCCCATCGTGCGCCCAGCCTGGCCATGATGCTCCCTGTCACCGTCCCTCCCCAGCAAAGACCTCAGAGCAAAGCTGGGCTTGGGAGACCGGTGGGGTGTGAAAGGGAACGTGTGGCAGCAGGAACAGTGACTCCTGGCACCCCCAGGACAACTTCGCCCACCTCAGACCTGCAGCAGAGCCCTCTGGGGACAGCAGGCTGTGACAGAAACGTGTTTCAGTTTCACACGTACCCACTTATCACTTAGGAAAGCAAAAACTGGACCATTAGGCGTGCATTAGCAGCTGGGCTCCAGGGCTTCCCCATCTGGGGCACTCAGCACAGAACAGTTGGGAGGCAGTGGTCTCTCTGCATCCCTTGTGCCCACCTCTGCTGCCCCTGAACAGCATGGGCTGGAGAGGCTTCCCTGAGAGCTAGCATTGAGCCCTGCCTCAGTTTCCCCATCTTTGCCATGCAGGTAGTTATGGGCAACACTGTCCTTAAAATGCTTTGAAAATGAAAAGACTCCCACCATTGTGTTATTATTAATAATGGCCTCCAGGCTTTATCACTGAAACTGCTGCTGGAGATGGAAGTTTCTCATATCCACAAACGGTTGAGCTTCATTTAGGGAGACACAGGTTATAGGAGTAAAATCATTATAAATAAAATCGGTTCATTTGCTGCTGCCCTAAAGCAGACAGGAGCAATCACCAGTGCAGCATTGCCATCCCCACCTCAGCAGTGACAGACACCAAGTGCTTCCAGGCCCTGTGGCTTCAGCCCCTGGCAGAACCCAAGAATGGACACAGTAACAGGGTTGGGAAAGAAAACCAAGAGCATAAAATGATCTGCGAGACTCCAATTCACTCTCAGGGGTGCAGAGGGCGCCTCTGCCACGTACAGCACCGAGAATCATACAGAGCTGCAGGATAGAGATCTTTCTATGTATATATTTATAGGTATGTATATATTTATAGTGCACTGCATTTAAAACAGCCGGGCCTGCTTCTTCAGCTCATTCCTCTTCCACAGTGCCAGGCGGTCGAACTCGGCGATGGTCATGCCGAAGATCTGGTAGAACTCCTCTTGGGAGAGGTGCCGCTGGGGAGAGATGGGATGCTGGGCCAGGAATGGGGACCAGAGCCACCACCTGGGGGTCCGATGGCATCCCCTGCCCTGCTGTGTGCAATGGGGTGCTGCAGCCCCCAGCAGTGCCCACTTGGGAGAGCACCCAGTTCCCACCTGCTAAATGCACTGATGCTGTGGGCATGGGGAACAGCTCTGCCTGGCCAGTAGAGCAGCAGCACCATCATGAGTGTGCCATGGAGATGCTCCTCACACATTCATGAGCCCCTCACAGCCTCACACTGCTTGCTGGGGCTAAGGGGACACCCCAAGGGATGGGGTCCCTCTGAGCCCTGAGGAAATTATCCCGAATGGAAAAGGCTCTTCTCACCTCTAACCGAGTCCTGTCCACATCTTTGGGCAGCTGGTTCCTTCCCCTCGTCTTCACCAAGAGCAGCTCATAGGGGTATATCTGCACAGGGACAGGAAGACCATGGGACATACTGGGGCATACCTGGAAATGAGGCTGTGGAAGCCACCAGGATAAAGCTTCCTCCTGCCATGTTCAGCAGGGTTTGGGTGGCTTGGACAGGACAAGGCAACCGGGGTCTTGCTCTCATGGTGACCCTGATCCACACTGAATCACTGTGGTGGCTCTGGAATTTCCTGTTCACCGTGAAACCAGGAGTGATCCAGGGATGAGCATGAGTGGAGGAACCACCAGCACTACCACCCTTCTCTGTTCCCCATCAAGGAGACAAGTGCTTGGGGACAAGTCCCCATCTGCTCAGCCAAGTGCTTGGGACCCTGGCAGGAGGGGAAGGACTGTGGTCTGAGCCCCATAGTTCCAGGACAGGGCTGTCAGGTGGGGAATGGAGGGTGATGAAGGTAGGGCATGGGGAGCAGAGGGCAAAGCTTGCTCCTAAAGGGCCTGAGGACACACGGACACATCTCTGGGGCTCTGGTACTCGCACCTCCAGCTGGCAGCCACTCCTTGGAGCAGCAGCATCTTACCTTGTACTCTGTGGGGAGAGAGAAAAGACAAGAGACATGAGCCACGCTGGCCCCTCTGCTGCCAGGCATCTGGCTCTGTGCCTACAGGGTCCCCTGGCCCACGGCCTTACCTCGCATCCCCCAGTTGACGGCATTCGTGCTGTCGTAGTGGAAAAGCTCGGCACTGGGAGGCTGCAGGACGGATGCAGGGAGGGAGGAATAAGAGGGGTCCCCTCTAGATGCTCAGCACAACACCTCCCATGTCCCCAGGGGGAAAGGCACCCACCCACCCCAAAGCAGGACCCTCTCCACCCCTGGCAGTGGGGAAACTGAGGCAAGAGAAGGTGAAGTGACAAGCCCAGGTCACAATGAGGCAGGACCAACCCCAGCAATCAGTGCCCCAGGGTACAAAGCAAAGCTCTTGCACTGGGAAGTAACACCAGCGACCCTCTGAATGTGCCCTGCAGGAGGTTCAGGACAGGCACCTCTGTCCTTCTTGCCTGGACAGGGCACTTTGGTCCACAGTAAGGGTCAATTTGGACTGGCACAGACCAGCAGTGACAGTAGGGGAGCAGAGAAGGGGGCAGCAGGACACCCAGAAGGGCACACCAGAGTCTTTGAGGAACCTGGGGAGAATGATGAAGGGCGCAGAGATGTGCGGCAGCAGCAGGATGCAGCAGGAGGCACTTACCCGGTGCAGCCCATTCCTCCTGTAGGCAGGGAGGGAGGCCGACTTAGAAATGAGGGGATCTGCAACAAGCCACCAAGGTGCATAAGGGAAAATGCAGGGATGAGCCCTGCACCCTGGGAGAGCACTCTCTGGGCCACCCTACCCCTGTGCTCCCATGTCACTACCCAGCTCCACATTCACCTAGCTCCATCTCCTTCCAGCTCCAACTCATTTCCAGCCTAGCTTCCTCCTGTGCAGACATTCCTCTCTCCAAAATCCCTTTCCCATGGCAGCCCTCCTGCCTCCCCCTTCAGTGCAACACAATCTCGTTCAGTTTCTCTGTCACCAGCACTGCACTGGTTCAGCTCTACCCTGGCCTTTCAAGGCCTCCTTCTCTCCCCTTCTTCCCTCTCTGGTCCCAGCATCCCAGAGCCTAGGCCCTGGACCCCATCACCCCAGGGGACCAGCAGTGGAGGGCTGCAGGCTCACACTCACCACTGTCAGCCAGGTAGTGCATCCGGGGAGCTGCAAAGAGAGCAGAGCCGGGTGTCAGGGATGAAAGGGCACCCCATGCCATGCAGAGCTGCCTGGCTGCCAGCCCTATGGGTCCTGCTTGGTGGTCCCTGAGCATCTCTGACAACCCCAGCTCCATGATGCACCATGAGGAAGAACAGCATGGAGTGAGCTGTGCTGTCAGGCTCCCCAGCACCATCCCTGGAGCTTGAGGGCTGGGTGCCCTGGGTGCTGAGCAATGAGAGCAGGGCAAGCAAGGATGGCAGCCCTGAAGCCAGTCATAAGGAGTGAGCCCAAAATAGGTCAGGGCAAGCCCAGCATGCCTGTGCTGTGGGATTCCCAAGGGACCACCAACCACCCCATGAGGCACTTCGCTAGGCTGCTAGACAGACTGCAAACACCCCTCGGCCACTGCCCCATCCTGGCCGGGGCACAGAGAATGGATGGAGCCCTGCAGAGAGGAAAAGAGACTCCCAGGTCTACCTCTGGTACTCAGCACATCTCCCACCACCCCTTCCCCATCCCCTGCTCTTCCCTCCCACAGGGGCTCTGCTGGGTGGGATGGACAGACAGACAGACAGGGTCCTTACAGCCGTTGAGGGAGCCCTCATAGCCAACTGTGTGCAGGGCTTCTCTGCTGCTGGCCGAGCTGCGAGGGGGTGTCCAGGGGTCTGCATAGGAGTTGGACCGAGCCTTCATCTCCTCCCTCAGGATCAGCCGGCCGATGCCGCTCTGGATCTGGGCAGGGGGGAAAGGCTGCTTCGCACCCCCCGTCAGACCCCATGTTGGGGATGGCCGAGGGAAGCAGGGATGGTGGTGGCCCCTTCCTGGGTGGTGGAACTGGGCTGGGTCTCCTCCCCAGAGTCCACTGCCATGGGGGCAGCTTGCTGCTGGCTCTCCCCTGCCAGGGCATTGCTCACCTTGTGCATGCCCCGGTCGTACCCATCCTCCTCCCCTCCAGATGAGAACCTTCGGGCTCGGGGAGCTGCAAGGAGACAAATGAAGGGGTCAGACGGGGATGAAGGTGGAGGCAGGTAGGGAGCAGGCAGTTCCCAGCTGTGTGGGGACAATCGAGTCCCAAGGGCTAGGATTTTGGCATCACTTTGGCACGTATCATGGCCCAACCCCATCTTCAGGTCCAGACCCAACTTGGGGGTGGCTCCCCCCCAGAGAATGGGGCAGGAATGGATTTTGCTTTCCCCTCGGTCAGTGAGAGGCTGTTACCTTTGGGGGAGCTTTGGAAGGACCAGTACTCTGACTCGGAGTGGTAGTACGGGTCCGGGGAGTAGGCAGGGCTGTACTTGGATGACTGTGCGATGTCTTCGCTGGTTTTGCTTTTTGTGGCTGCAGGGGGGTTGTCTGCAATAGGAGCAGGCAGAGCTGCAATGAGGACCCTGAGTCCTGCTCGCAGGACTTGCAAAGATCCATCCT